AGATAGATAGATAGATAGATAGATAGATAGATAGATAGATAGATAGACACAGAGAGAGAGAGATAGGGAGAGAGAGATAGGGAGAGAGAAACACACACACACACACACACACACAGACACAGACACACAGACACAGACACAGACACAGACACACACACACACACACACACACACAGATATCTAACTTCATCCTTAATGCAGAGTTTCTCAGCCAGTTGTGTGGAGAAATCCTCCCTAAACTGAGAAACCTTCCCCATACATGAGAGGAGAACAAAGATTAAGTCATTCTTTGGTCAAGTATGCTAAGACAAATAAACAGATCATGTCAACAAAGCATTTTCTTCTGTCCAAGATTGGAACAATCTCTTTGGCCTGTGGTGGCTAAATATTGTTTTGCACTAGTCTGCATTATTTACATTAAAATGGGAGAAGACTCATTTACCTCTTGATTTATTATTGATTATGGAAAGTTTGTTTCTTTGTTCCTACCACAGTCAACAGTACTTTAACCCCAGTTAGCTGTCAGTTATTTTATGCCAGAGGTCTCCAAACTTGGCAGAGTTCTGGGTGTTGAAGTCCACAAGTCTTAAGTTGCAAGTTTGGGGACCCCTGTTTTATGCTTACAGAAGTGACAATTATTATTAACAGAATTACATGATATTTATGTCTGCAAAATTCAACTGATCAGAAAGACGCCTCTGAACATATAAATATCCCTCTCAGAAAATGGTGGTTGGATCCAAATTTTTGATGGAATAATCGGTGGGACTTAAAATAGAAAAGTTTGATAGATACTTGGGTCTCCTCCCAAGCCTGGCCACAAACATTCACTGTTTGCTTGTCTATTTTTCCCAGTAGATTTTCTTCTTCTGAAATCCTGGGATCTCCCCATTCCTTTTAATAGAACTAGAAGGAATGTTTCAGGAGGGGGCTTTTTGGATTTCCTACCAGCTGCGAGTTAAACCAATCATTGCATTTTGGGGCACTGCCAAGTCTTTAGGAAATTTGAGTAATAATGATAATAAAAAAGCATCATTAATGGGGATTTGAATGGAAAAACTCACAATATATAAAGAAAAAGTAGCCCCCCCCCCCCCCCCACCGTGGGGCAGTAGAAAAATGAGTTGGGTACAAAGCCAAAGGAAATAAAAGATAATCAGACACTGTTTTAGACATGTTATGAGCTCATGGCAATCAGAGAATGTTGTGGTCAATTCCCCAACTTTTTAAAAAAACAACCCAATGATCTCAAATATAAGGGGAAAAAACCCCACTTCTCTCAATTTAGTTCCACATGGTCACATCTTTGGAGTTTTCTTGGCAACAATCTACTGCCTTCTTCTAAGTTTTGTTTTACATCCCCCAGTATAACTTTCAGTTTTAGGATTTCATGGTCTTCTAGCCAGTTACTAATCAACCTGTTTAGATTTCAGTGATCAGAAACACTTGGCAAGGGTCTGTCGCTTGCTGTAATCTGTCAAAAATTAAGAGCCTCCTTTAAAATTCATTTGACAAGTAGAATATAATACAAAACATGCTACGACTATTTCTTCATTGATGACTTTCAGAACTGCCCATCACTAAAATGACATAAAGTCAATACTCATTATTTTAACTTTCAGAAATGGTTTAGGTCTGGAAAAGATCACAGGCAGCTAAAAAAAAGCTTATTATTAGTTAAATTGTATGGATTTGAACCAGAGTTAGTTAAAATCAGACTATAGCTTTTGGCAAAAGGTAACCTTTGACCCCAGGATGTCATCAATATGAGTCCATTGCCAAGCAACTGGATTTTGATCACATGACTGGAGGGATGCTACAACGGTCGTAAGTGTGAAAACCGGTCATAAGTTACTTTTTCAATGCCGTTATAACTTCGAACGGTCACTAAATGAACTGTTGTAAGTTGAGGGCTATCTGTATTGTACCATTATTTTACTATTAAACACATACCAATCAGAGGTGGTATTCAGCAGGTTCTGACTGGTTCTAAAGAACCGGTAGCGGAAATTTTGAGTAGTTCAGAGAATTGGCAAATCCCACCTCTGTCTGGCCCCGCCAATCCCATGCCTCCCAAGTCCCAGCTGATTGGCTGGGTCTTCTTTTGTTGCCCTGCACAGGAGAACAGAGCTGGAAAGCAGGTTAGCGGGGTGGGGAGGGAATGGGGATTTTACAGTATCCTTCCCCTGCCACGCCCACGAAGCCACGCCCACAGAACCAATAGTAAAAAAAATTGAATCCCACCACTGATACCCATGTCCAAACTTTCAGACTTGTAGCAGAAATAACACTCTTGAGTGACTGGCCCTCTTCAAAAGGTTAAGGATGTAGTAAGCACAGACTTTGATCCAACAGAATAACTGCTTAAACTTTGCTTGGCCCTTTTCCTCAAATTGTAGTTCTTAGCCAACTGTTCATCAAGAAGAACTCATTCATGGTCAGGAAGTGGTATATAGAGATGCTGAGATCAGACGTCCTTCGAAATAAAACATATTCTCAGCACTGAACTAAAACATATTTACTTCCTTTGTTGGTGTTTATGTTCATATCTATACTTGTTCTCTTGTACATGTTTGACAAACAAATCAAATAAATAAATACTCTCTCTCTCTCTCTCTCTCTCCTTCAGCATCCTTTTTGACTCTGCTTGGTGCCAATTTCCTCACACTTCTGGTTTTTCTCTCTGGGATGGATAGCCCATCCTTCTGTTCAAGGTCTCCCATAAGCCACACTCTAGTTTTCCTTCAAGAAGCTGAAGAATCCAGAGAATGCATTAGCATGGACTCTCAATATGTGCAGTCTCAGACGAGACAGACATGTCCCCTTAGAAGCGCATCTGCTTGAAAGCTCCCACATTGGTCTGAGGAGACATCATCATCTTTGGACACAGAGTTCCTTTCTTCCTTTTGATGCATTCCCTGAACGCATGGCTTTTTTTTTTTTTTTGGCAGCACCTTTGGCACCAGGAATGCTAAACTTTTGATTTCGGCAGGAAGGCAGGGAGATCCTGAGAATTCCTCAAGTGGTTTACACTGACACTACATTTGCTAATCCAACTCATAACTATTGTCTCAAAGGTGCTTTTCCAGGAGGCAGATTAACAGATAATCAGAGTTGGAAGGGACCTTATATAGGTCATGTAGTCCAACTCTCCGTTCAAGCGGGAGACCCTACACCATTTCTGACAAGTGGCAGTCCAGTCTCTTCTTGAAAGCCTCCAGTGATGGAAATCCCACAACTTCCAAGGGCAAGCTGTTCCAACTGGAATTTCTTTCTTTCTTTTTTCTTTGAAGACGTTTCGCTTCTCATCCAAGAAGTTTCTTCAGCTCTGACTGGATGGTGGGGAATTCCCACCAAGAAGCTTCTTGGATGAGAAGTAAAACGTCTTCAAAGAGTAACAAGACAGTCCAGTTGCCTCTTGAAAAAGCACCTTTGGGACAACTATGACCTGGAGGACTGAGAATCACTACAGACTTTTAATTCATAACTATTGTTCTAAAAAAGCTCTGCTGTGAGGCTGCACTCTCTTGTGGTCCAGCTTGTATAGCCAACCCAACTTCCAATCTTCAGAACTGACCCAAGCACAAGGACTATGAAAGAGCAGGTGTCAACTCATAAAACATTTCTATGGTCGTTTTATGGTTGCCAACAGAAAGGTAGGGGGGAAAGGGGTTTGAAAGAACAGTGTGGCAGCTTGGAATCGAAAGTGCATTCCATACATAGTTTTTCAGAGATTGTAACTAGGTGACTGAAGTTTCTGCAGTGCAAAAATTTAACTGGAGAATATGATTGATGACTCTTGGCTATGGATGTGTCCCATTGGAGAATATGAATTATGATATACCAAGAAGGGTGCGGGGGAAACCAGGGTCAAGGGTGACAGTGAATTATGTGTCTCAGAGTTGGCTACACCCAGGTAGTGCCGACATGTTAACTCCCAATAAATCCTGTTTAGTTTTGGAAAATTGGCTCGAGACTCATGATTTCATTGGGGTAACTGCCAGAATCCTGACAACAGGGCTTCCTCATCAGAAGACCAAGTATTTTGCCCCACTGAAGCTAGATATCCAAAATATTGGATGCTCTGAGGCCACACGCACAATAAACCGCCAATTTCAGTCCAAACTCTGCATGATAAGGAGAGAGAACTGGCAAGGTGGCTCCTCAGTTAAAGATGCTCTCTTCTACTGTAGTCTTTTTGATAATATTAATGTTTTAATTAAGGTGTACATTTTAATATTTATTTTTTTATGATCTGTTTTTATTGTACACTACCCAGTCGTGTATGTGAGATGGGTAGCTATATAAATGTGATAATTATAATAATAATAATGTGTAATCATAAGAATAATGGCAATTAGTTCATTAGTCAAGGGTTATGTGAGCATAGATATAACATGATTTGTTCATTAGCAGATTATGTGTAAGCAGCAACTGCAGGTTTCTAAACCCTGGTTCATCGTCTAACTCAATGTGTCAGCCCAGCCTTTTGGTAATTCACTCAACAAACCATGGCTAGAAAAACTGGGCTTCCTGATAAACTCAGTCCTTGGTAGCAGATGAAAGGAAAATGATGCAAACTGTGGATAACATGGATAAGGGGAAAGTATTCTGTCCTTCTCAAAATGCTAGAACCTGAGGTCACACAATGTCATACAATGCTGGAGGAATCAGGACAAACACAAGAAAATATTTTTTACACGATACGTAATTAAATGTTGGCATTTGCTATCACAAGATATGATACTGACCAATGATCATGGGATCTAGGTTTGATGGCTATATGGTTACCTTTGTGGCCCACCTGCTAGGAGACTACAGGTAGTCCTTGTTTAGTGACTGACTTATTGAGTGACTGTTCACAGTTACAACAGTGATAACAAAGTAACTTTGGACCAGTCCTCACATTTACAACTTTTGAAGGTCTGTAAAGAAAAGGCAAGGTGAAAGAAGATCTTAAGCACCGTTGTGGTTTCGCTTAGTGACTACTTTGCTTAATGATTGAGTTGCCCGTCCCAATTGTGATTGCTAAACAACGCTAGTTGTAATGGGCTGCCTTGTGCAATTTGTTGGCTACCGTGAAAAGAGATCATGGATTAGATTGACCAATCAGGGTCTGATCCATCAGGACATTGGTTATGTCTTTAAAGTCTAGTCTTAGTTAATTGCAATGCAGAATAAGAGAGATGGAAAAGACCTTGGAGAACTTCTAGTCCAGGGGTCGCCAACCTTTTGGACCTCAGGGACCACCAAACTCGTAATTTTAAATCCCACGGACCAGAGACCCTGGGAAAATCCCCAAAAAAGTCTGCAGGAAAATTCCCCACCCCACTTTTCCTACCGATCAATCATTCTTTATTTGGGATTGCAGGATACTGTCTCCAGCTCCGTTCCCAGGGGGAGAGAGAGAGGGGGAGAGAGGGGGAGAGAGACTTTTGGCTTCATGCAAGGAAAGCACTAGCAGTTTTTCTTTCTCTCTCCAAACTCCGCCAGAAATGAGTTTCACAGACATGCCGCGCCGATGCAGCCTCTCGGAGCAGGATGCCTTGCAGGCCCCAAAGACTCATTTCTGGCTGAGTTTGGGGGAGATAAAGGAAGACTTTTGCTGCTTTCCTTGTGTGCAATCAAGAGCAGAAGAAATTTGAAAGAAGCAGCCTGGTGGCCAGGCCAGCCATGTGGGGCAAGTGGGGCAAGTTTCCTCCCTTTGCCCTTTGCCCTCCTCCCCTCCCTACCTCGTGTTATTTGCAATGCAAGCAACACAAGCCTTGTGTTCCTGTGGGCCACGTGACACAAGCCTTGTGTCCCCACACAGCCAGGATTAATCGCTTTGGGGGTGACATTTCTCTGCGGACCGCCAAAATTTTATCATGGACCACAAGTGGTCCCCGGCCCACTGGTTGGCGACCACTGTTCTAGTCCATCCTCTGCTCAGTCACGAGACACTACACCATTCCAGACAAATGACTCTCCAATCTCTTCTTAAAAACCTCCAGTGATGGAGCATCCACACCTTCTGGAGGCAATCCAAGGTCCATAGCTCCTCAGTTCAGCTGGTGAGGAGTTATGGAATGTCTCATGCACATTCCAACAGCCCAGTAGTGTAAAATGAAACATTCTTGGCATGTGAGGCCCCAGACAAATGCAAACAGGGCAGGAAGCTAAGCTGAGAAAAGAAGGGAAATGCCAGTAGCAGTCAGCTGTTAAAACGAAAGATTATGAATAAGGTATCTGTGCACGACAGAGAGACGTATATAGACACGGTATATAGATTAGGGAAAGTCTGGTCCCCATTGGGGAAACATTCCGTTCTGCTTATATTACCCAACAAATCATTAAAAACAATCTGCAATTTGGATTGTTTGGAGTTCCTCCTTCAAATTCCAAAAGGTTGCCGGGCCTACAGGATTCATCATGGACACGTTCATTAAGATAAGACAGCACCTATGGCAGGGGTGTCAAACTCAAGGCCCACGGGCTGGATCTGGCTCATGATGTGGTTGGATGTGGCTTGCGGGGCCATCCTGGAAAATGTAAGGAGTCAGCCCGTGTTGCTTTGGCCTGGTCTACCCAATGGGAAGAAGAAACATGACGCGAGCATGGCTTTGGCCCAGTCTACCCAGTGCAAAGACAAAACATGCCAACAGTTTGGGGAATGGTGTCAAGCTGGCCACACCCACCCAGTTGGCCATGCCCACCCAGTCAGCCGCACGTCTGCCCAGTTGGCCACACCCACCAGGTCCCTGAGGTCAACCCCAACCCTAATGCGGACCTCAGTGAAATTGAGTTTGACACCCCTGACTTATGGGGTGGTTTAAATCTTGCCAGATCAACATACAGATTTGTCTTCTACAGAATCAAAGAAGTGGCCAGTTCAGATTGACAGGGACTGAGATGGATCCAAAGCAAAAGGCCTTAGAAGATTGGACAGGAATTGGGTTTGGAGGCCTCGGTGTGCAAAGTGAGTTCACTAGCACCAGGCTACATCTTCCCTCTGCACAAAAATAGTCTACGACCACCATCTCCTCAAAGGGTGGGATTCTACCGATTTGGACTGGTTTGGGCGAACCGGATGTTAAATTTGCATCTGGCTCGCCGAACCGATATTTGAACTGACCGGCTGGCCCCGACTACCCCTCCCCTCCCAGGAGTCTCCACAAGGTCCATTTTAGATGCAGGTAAGTGCAGGGTCCGCGCAGAGGCTCTGGGAGGGGGGGAAATGGGCCTTCCGGGAGTCCAGGAACAGGCCTGTTTCCAGCTTCCGGAGGGTCTCCAGAACCCGGAGGATGCCATTTTCGCCCTGCCGGAGGCCCGAGGGAAGCCTCCGGACCCTTGGGAAGGCGAAAAACAGCCCTACAGTTCTGGTAGGCCACGCCCACCACGCCCACACCCACTCAGCAACTGGGCAGCGAACCGGTTGCTGGGATTTTTGAATCCCACCTGTGGTCTTTTCCCTGTGGGACCCGTCTTCTCGGAAGCCAGGACAATTTTGCAATGCAAGGAAATTAAGGAGACCATTTTAAGGAAGAAGGCAACAATCTCTCCTATTGCACACTGTGATCTAATCCCACTCCTGTAGGATGGCCATTTAACATGTTTAAACTCTGTATCCTAATTGGTCACACACTATCACTGCTCGGCCCAAAGGTAATTTTTCAAGAGCCCACTGGACTTTCTGGTTTACCTTTGAAGGCGTTTCACTTCTCATCCAAGGAGCTTCTTCCGCTCTGACTGGATGGTGGGGAAGAGCGGAAG